TGTTAACCAACGTCATCAGATCATCTTTTGCACGTTTCTCTGTCTGAAATGTGTCTAAGGTTTCTTTTAAGGACATGATGTGAAGTTTGTTAATGTAATAAGTGAATGAGGACTAATGTTGGTTTAGGGTTTGTTACCTACATGCATAATATTTCAATGAAGTTTCGCATGGGAACTATGGAAGGTTGGCGACTTTATGCAGACGAATTACGTTTCGCTGAATTTCGAATCTGATCTCCTGAGCTGGTCCAAAGCACATTTGCATCGGTTTTCGCTCATTGTTTCTCAACGCATTTGAGTTCAATAAGTAGCCACCATGGTACGGCAAATCATAAGAATCTGGCGTCTAAGATTCTGAGCACCCGAGAGTCGGATGTCTACGCAGTAGTTCCATGTAGAGTTATGTGCGCACGTGCGGCCGCTTTTTGCTGGCGCGGGCCGCTGCGCCGGGGGTAGGCGATCGGTCTGCCGCTGCCGGGAGGCCGTGTCAGCCCGTCATCAGCTGTCAGCTGGGACGGCTCACCCGTCAGATCGCCGTCAGATTCGTCACCAGTCAACCGCGCCACGCATCGATCGTTCACGCGTGAGCGTTTTTATACGGTGGAACGACAGCGGCTCGGCCCGGAGCTATGGTGTTTGACGGGATCCGGCGGGGGTTTAGGGTAATCTGGGTCATGTGAGAACCGGCGCTCAAGTGGGCTGTCACCTGTCGGGGATGTAATTGTGTGTGGTTTTTTTGTGCCCTTCAGTGAACTTGTGACGTTAATGGACTTATGTGGCTTGGTTAAGATGGTTTTTGTTTTCGTTGTAAGATCATGACAATAACGTTTGACAATAATCAAACCAAGAAAGACATCGGAGTTCTGTGGTTATCTTTTACCGTTCTTATCTCATATCTTCATCAAATCTTGAAACAGAATGCGTGACTTTGGATCATGAACTGCGCAAATTATTCGCTGGCATTTATTTTATGGGAACCATTTATTTTTGTGTTTGAAACAGGGCTATCTTTAGCCTGTTCCTTTAACTTCAGACTTTTTGAAGCATTTTAACCCGCGAGTTGCTGGGGGGGGGGCGTTAAACGCCCCCACTTTTTTCGCCGGGCCATAGCATAAAAACGGCGCGCCGCAGGCGCGCCAAATTTTGGGTACCTGTAGGGAATTGATTGAAGTTTATTGTGACAAAGTTTAAAAAAAAATCGGTCGGAAAATTTTTGAGACATCAAGGTTTTAGTGACGTCATGATTTCTGAGTTTTCGACCAAAAACGGCATATGTTCAAAAAATCATATAAAATCACAGAATAGACATACAGACATGCCGTAAATGCCATTAAACTGCCAATACCATGAACAATCAAATGGCTATCTTCGATTTTTGATTATCGCTCCGCATTTTCCAAAATCTTGAACTGAATCTTTGCAATTTCTCGTGACTACCTCACGACCATGATACATGCATTTCTTAAATTTAACTTTTTGAGCCAAACGCGTACACATATGATAAAATGAATGTCACCATCGTGTTCTACGACCCAAATTACCCATAAAACATGTGTCACAGGCTGCGAATATCAGTTTTGATTTTCGGGGATATGTGCCTACCCGGTTGACCTGACCTTGACCCTGACCTATGCTTGACTGACCCCTACATGAAGCTGACACTCTTGTAGGCCTTATATGATGGATTGTGCACCGTTTTGACAGAGTTTATGACGAGAGGCGCCCATTGCGAAGTCCTGAAGTCCATGCTACTGAAAGCCCGATTTCAGGTGTTTGACCTGACCTTGACCCGACCTCTGACCTCAAAATTCAACTTTAAAGTACTCATCTGAAGCGTCTCGTCGCGTTCTTTCGTTTGCCGCCTCGTGCGTTTCGCTGCGCCTATTGGTTCGCGAGTTATCGGCTGGGGGCGTTTAACGCCCCCCCCCCCAGCAAACGGTGGGTGGCGAAATACCCCAGCAACTGCCGGGTTAAACGGCACGTTAACACCTGCCATTTCATCTGAAACCGACATCGACTTACAGCCCGTCCCATTCAGTCACGGCGGCTTAAATGCGCCCGCAATAAATGGCAGCGCCTCACCGCAACTCCGACCCGCGGCGCGGTCGTCCAACGACCTCCTAGGTCCTTACGGCGCGGCGGCTGGTAAGGCTGACCACTGCCGCAGTAACAACCGACCCTCCTTCCCTGGTGGCTGAGAGACCGCCCCTGCTCGGAGCGGCGCCACAAACGCGCGGTCGGCACGCAGCGCCTCCCGGCGCCCGGCACCCTGCGCCTACATCTCCCACGGCGGCGCGCAGGGCCCGAAGCGACATCCTCATACCCGCCCACCTGCTGACGCGACTCCGCTGCCAGCCAATTTGCGTTCGAATGCCGCCCCTCACCCGCACCCTCCGTGGTGCAAACGACACCTGTGTAGGAGCGTGTGTCGGCCTCGGAGGGCGCCGACGCCGAGCAGCCGCCACCCCAACTCCGGGCGCGGGGAATGTGCACAATTCAGGGCGCAGGTGAAATGTGCATAGAGATGGGAATGAGTAGCGGGAATAAGAGCGCGGAGCTGGCGAGAACGAAGGGGAGCGCTGGGTCAACGATGCAGGGTCGGCGTGGTGGTCCGGGTGCAGAGCGGACCGTACCGGGCCTGCTCGGCCGATTTGAAGGTTAGAACCAAATCAGGGCACCAGTTTGTGGCGTGCCGCGTAGGGGCGTGAGGTTATTGTAAGGAAGATTGAAGGTTAACACTGAACAATTTTAGGAAATTGATGGTAAATACCTTTTGAAATGAATGTTTGTGTCGTTATATTACGGTATAAAGTGTCAAGCAAGGTTCAACGGATTGGACTATACGCGCTTATCTGACAGTATTAACAATGCAAATTACCCAGCACCGCTCCTCGTATTGTCCGGCGCCCGGTAGCAGCCCACCCACGGAGAGTCTAATTCCCCACGCACACAGTAGCGGCGGCGGACGATGTTCACACCGCGGCAGGTCATGTCGGGGTCACAGGACCGTCTGGGAACGGCCGTGACACAGTGGTAGTGCGGGATGTAGGCACAAACTACATACAGGAACATTACACTTCGGTGTGTGAACCTGGTGTGTACTCATCTGTGTAGCTTCTGCTCCTACAAATGGAAGTGTGTAACAACACTGAACGAAAGGCTGCAGCACGCTTCAAGATAGGGCCGTATCTCAGTCTTGGAAATGAAGTTGTGCTGTTTTAATGTTGCATTTTACAAGTATACCTACCTTACTTGAATCTATAAGTGTAGGCAACGATTTAAACACTTTGAAGCTGCGGCAATCTCGAGCGCCGCGGAATTGCTGTTTGTTTTGTTCAGACAAGACAGGGTATTTTGCTTGAGGAGTTTGTTAAGGAGCGCTGTTTCGTTAAGTTTTGTTAAGCGCTTCTGATAAAGCTTTGTAAATATCAATGTGGTGCATGTGATAGTGCATTATGGAACTGCCCCATTACGAGTATTCTGATTCTATGTAGACATTTGCAAACAATAAATCGTATATCGCTGTGTGAATGAATCGTTTTGTGGATTCAATGCCGACGGATCCATAATGGCCTTTGTCAGTTCGATGACAGTCTCTTGCTCCAAACAAATAGCCTCTTCAGAGGTGGCTAATCAGCAAAAATCTGCGCTCAATCTCTGTCAGGAAGCTCAGTCTCGCTGATATCGGTTACATGATGCGGTCTTATATCTGCTGGGTGTTTGGACTCGCAACAAACGCACGTCATATGTTTGAAAAATGAACTTTAATTGCTCACAGTGTTGGTATAAAGCCGCCACACAACGGTATCCATTACCCAAGTGGCTATCGTGTATGGGAGGTAGCGAATCGTGTAAGTCATGCCTTTTGTTGACGTGATGGAAAGCTGAGACATCGCTGAATTCTGAACGGCCACGAACAATGCCGTGAAAAATCGAATTGTAATTAATGGTCATCAAGCAAAATACCTTGTCAGAAGGCGCATTCATTTGCATTACTAATGCATTCACGCTTTGGACTAACTAGGAAACGAGCGAAATGCGAGAAATTTACATTAATCTTGGTGAGGATGGCTGACGAAGCGTGGCGTGTGAGGAGACTGTGAATTCAGTGCGGCGCCCGGGACCGCCCCATCGCTACGTGGCCCTGTCACGAGCCGTCCATCGGACGGGAAGCGTGGGCGAGGAGAAGGGCGGACCCCGAGATTTGACCAAATCCGTGGAGCCACCCGCCCTTCCCAGAGATTCCACTTGAAGTGGATTGGTATGCATCTATAGGAAGTGAGATTCTAGCGCCCCGGTCGGTGATGAAGTATTAAGGAATTGCTGTTTTTACCCGGAATCGTTTGAGGCAGTTTCTTGCTCTAGTTTTACCATCAGCCTGAACCAGAAATAGGTTGACAACTCCAACTGAACTAAGAGCCATCGTAGGAGGCGCCGACCAAATATTGATATTCGGAGCATGAATGATTTACGATCAAACTACACATGTTCAGTAGCCGAACATGTTACGTGCATAATGCGGGAAAGTCATAACCTTCTACGCCTCGGCACATGGCACATGCCTCACTGGGAAGACGAGCACCATCAATCGCCACGCCAACCGGCGTCTGTCTGCCCCATGGCCGTCTCAAGCCGGGACGCTGTTGTCCCAGGCTGGACCTCAGCCCACTCCGTGACATGGCGGCGCGGTCTCTTTGATCCCCCGGGCTCCTTCCGGTCCACGGTGTCGGGTGGACCACCCACGGCGCCTCACGTGCACCAGTGGTCCGACGGTCTCTGTGATGTTTGTGCAGTGTTTGCCTACGCAGTGTTTGTGTTAACTTGGGTAAATGTGTGGATACGGTGATTGGACGTTTACTGTTCATCAAGTACCTAGAGGTCGGTTTGGTATCGGATTCTGCTGTGTGATCGCGTTAGTCTGTTTTGCATTGAAAGTCATGTACACCAATGTTTTGCATGGCTCGTTAACACCAAATGTGACGTTGTTTCCTGCGTTTCAGCTGGGACCGTTGAACTCGATCGAAGGTTCATCGCCTCGCTGGTGGCCAACTGTTTCTTCAGCACCTTCCCGAAGCGGTCGGCCATCTCGCACCCGACACTGCTCGATGTCAACTTCTCCGCGTTCTTCTACTACTTAAACAGGTCGGTGCACTCTGGCTGCCATGATCTCTTATAGACACCTGCTGAATGAGTTTTGACTTGATTTGGCGCGCATGTAATGCTGTTGCATATTTGTAAGTGCAATAGTTATATGTAAAAGAAAGGTATATTGGCACTGGGGTATACAAATCAAATGCCTCTCCAGATCTTAAGTTCCACTTTTTGTATCGGCTAATGCCCTTATTTTCTGTTCTATTTTCTATTTTTCTAGTCTATTTTTTCTATTTTTCTATTTTCTATTTTCTATTTTTCTAGAGTCTATTTTTAACTCCATTGGTCCTCGGTAGCGGTCTAATTATGCAAAGTGCATCATTATGCTCCACCGAGGAAATCGCACTTCGATATGGGACCATGGTAATTGACAATTAGTCTGGGCTAGTTTGGGCCATAGCTGCCGAATAGATTGCCAATTATTCATTGATAATGATCTGAGTCATCTCAGTAGGAGCTTATCTGCACGCATATCAGCTTCACAGGACATAATGGCTTTCGCGTGTAGGTACAGTGGGTCTATTTAAGATCTCCAGAGCCACCACGTGGCGCTACGGTCGGGGTAGGGCGAGTCCAAATCCCGAGGGAAGTGAGGTCACCGGTCATTGTGGGGGCAGGAGGGAGGGGGAGTGACGCGGTATCACGGCGCATGGGGCGTGCGTAACTGCGTAGCGCCGGGAGTGGGCCGCCCAGGGCCGCCCGCCACTGCGCCGAGGCTGAGGGGAGGGGATGATGGCTGCGGGTGCGTTCACTCCGGTATGGTGGTATCCTGTTCATGTGGAACCGGCAAGAACGCGACTGAAGGGAATCATTATCTCAAACAAACGGGCAAGCCAGAGGCAGCGTCAGTTCCAGCCAAAATGTTGAACAATGATAATTGAAACAATCTAGGACGTATTCATAGCATGCAACTTTTCAGTCGATAGTTGCATGATGCTTTTCATGATGCATGCTGAGGCTTTTCTAAACTGTTATTTGAGTTAGATATTTTTCATTTGGCACGTTCAGTTTTGGTGGGTTTTATCGGGTCGAAAAGAATCAGAAAAGAAAAAAGAGTTGAAATGGCTCCAGACAAATGACCAAAAATATTTTCCTAAAAAATGAAACTTAGCTAAACGTTTATAAGCGATAATTTTGACTTTTGGGGAGGATATTGGGGAAAGATATTGGGGAAAGATGTCATCGTGCTTAGCTGAGTTGCAGTAGAAGGAAAGGTTTTGGTTGTGTCTAGATAAAACCAGACCCGGGAGTGGGGCTCGAACTCACGACATCGCGTTCAGCTCACAGGTTACTCAACCTCAACGCTACGAGCACCTATCGCCCTGCGCAGCTTGCTCAGTGTTTCGGCTAAAGTTCGGCCAAAGTGTCTGACGTCTGTCAATGTCACGAGGCGAAACCCCAAGGTAAATGTCCGTCCCGGTAGCTCGGTCGGTAGAGCGTTGGACTCCATGTGCCATGTGGTGAAGGCGCACGTCCCGGTTGCAAAAGTCCGGGTTCGAAACACGACGTGTGCTTGACGTTTTTTAGCCTCCTGACGGGTATGGTTGTGGTTGGTGGCAGGCCGCTGCCAGGCGAAGTCAGCGAGGGGACCGGCCGTGCGCGGCTATGTGCGCACGTTAAAATTTGGACTCTAAACCACAAACCATTTTGCCATAGACTAAACCTCAAAACCATAGTCTGCAATAGACCAGTATAGCGCCTTTTGGGGCGACTAACGGAGCGAGCGAGGGGGTGAGTCTTGCACGTGCGAAATTTCGAGGGGGTACCTCCAACTGACTTGTGCACGGCACCCTACTGACCGGTTTCTAGCGATGTGCCAAATTTGAGCACAATCGGCCCAGCCGTTCTCGAGATCTGGGAGCGGCACCCTGCACGTGCGCGCGTGCAAAATGGGTCCCAACTGACTTGTGCACGGCACCCTACTAACCGGTCCCTAACTGTGTACCAAATTTGAGCGCAATCGGTCGAGCCGTTCTCGAGATCTGGAAACGACCCCTGCACGTGCGCACGTGCAGCAGCACCCCAACTCTGGCTCATGGATATGCAGTGCCTAGTGGGTGCCTACCTACATGCCAACTTTCAGCGCAATCGGCCAAGTAGTTACCGAGATATCGCAACAATTACCAAAGTGACAGCTCTTCGTTTTGCACGTGGCACGTGCATAAGGGGTCACCCACATGCATCGGGAATAGTCCAGTACTTGGTAGAAGGAATGAAGCTACCCTACAAAATTTACCGCATGTAAATCGGTAAAGTGGTTGCTGAGATATAAGCCTCGCAAAAGCGTCCGCACGGCCGGCCGGCCGCCGGCCGGCCGGCCGGCCGCTCATACTCAGAAATTTCCGTTAATCTAAGGAAAGACTTCGCTCGCTTCGCTCGCTCCGTAACCAGGAATTGCTTGATCGGAGGGTAGATGGCAGGTTTCAACGCTTAACAAGCTCAGCTTAGCGGGGACTCTGTCCTTGTGACTCCTTCCATTCAAAAGGTTCGGGCCAAATTTATATATTAAAAAAGGGGGAGCCGAACCAGGTTGGGCCGAGTAGAACCAGGCTGGACCGGGGTCATGCATGCAATCATGGTCAGACAAAACAGAAGTTAATTTCGGGTCAAATATTTTTATTAACTGATCTTATTGTTTTTTAGCTTACACGTAAAATAACTTTTAGCTTTTTATAACTCGATACTTCATGCACAGAAATGTGGCGTTCGTCCACTTTTCCTCATCGTCTCTTAGCGACTTGATTTCATGTGGTGGCGGAACGGGGGGGAGGGGGGCATCGGGTCACCGTGCCCCCGTTTGATTTTGGCATTTTAACATTAGCCCTATGGGCGTTGCATGGAAAGAATGGGACCAAAAGTCGGCAGTGCCCCCCCTTAATTAAAGGTGTTCCGCCGCCACTGCTTGATTTGACCCTAAAGGCGTCTTACCAGCAAAAAAATTAAAATCACCTGCGTTATACCTAAATATTTGCCCAAGGGCGCTCTACGCAAGAAACGCCAGCCGGTCAAAAAACTGGCGAACGAATACGATCTCTCTAGTGCTTGAATTATATTCAATGAAAATTTCAGGAGACATAAATAATCTTAATCCTTATAGCTAGGCGCTCGGAGCATTCGCTAGCATTCCATTGCCAGCTGCATTATCAACGCCACATTTGCATTACTCTGGGTGCATCATAAGCAACAGTAGGTGAACCGGCCACAGCAAAACCATGCCTCAATTTCCTTTCCTTCCAAGCTGCCAAGCTAACCGGCCGCCCGGCCCACCACCGCGATATGGAACAACACTGGAGTGCGCCATTTGCCTACGGCAGTGCCCCACCGCGCCGGGGCTGTTTGACAGGTCACCCGCACCGTGACCTCGCCACCCGCCCCCCCCCCCCTCCCCGCCCACCTCCCCATCGGGCCCAGCTGGGTAGTGACCTCTCCTTGAATTTGACATGGACTCGACTAAGGCTCAACGCCATCTAGTTACGTCTGGAGATCCTAATAAGATCCACTGTACATATGCTGTCATTACCTACCTCCATTTGCTTTTGAATGCACATTAGCACTTGCCTCATGTTCGTTTCGTTATGTGCTGTAAGTAATTTATTCATAGAAGCCGATGAAACTTTTTTTTCTATTTCTTAGGTACAGCAATCAGTTCGGTCAACTAGATATAGTTACACGTTGCGATTTTTTAAAGCTCATTGGTAAAAAAGACAATACGGCTTTGGTGTGGTAGATAAAAGGTAAACGACGAACTAATAATGATATGCTGACTGTTGGGTGACCCACTGACCACGTACCCGTCACCTGATGCCGTTCTAGCGCCTCTCTCAAATCATTATTTCCTATAGCCATATTGATATCGCGGCCAGGGCTCTTTTCGCCTAGATATATACCTAATGTAGGACCATGCGCCCGGTGACTGTTCTAAGACACCGCCGACAGGCCACTGTTGGGGTGGGGCGCCCCACGACCCACCGAATACCCGACCGACCGACGGCAGGCGCCACGTAATAAAGCAGCTCCCTGTTATTGATGACCGCTCCGAGCGCGTTATTGGTGTGTGCTCCGGCATCGGGATCACGGAGCTGGTATAGGTACGGGAGACGCCTCTATCTAAACTCGACTGCTCTGATCCCATCACGGCGTAGGGCAGGAACGGGCGTGGTGGATTGACGACCGGGCTATCATGGTGATAGGACGACGGCCAGTCCTCTGGAAAAGTGCTCTTCTAGACGTTATCTAGCGTGATCTGTCAGGGATATGCTATCTGCTCCCGGTTGGGTGAATGTAAAATCGTCTGTGTAGTCAGCTGCGCGTAATCTGCAGCTGATTGTGTTGTCCTAGATCGATTACACTAGCCTAGGCGATCGTTTCACGTTTGCATATCGCCCGTCTGATTATTTGAGACTCGGTCTTTGTGTATCTGGGCGGCAGTGAAACACAGCTTCAGATCCGCAGGCTCAGATGTTAGACGTGCGTTGTTACCTTTAAACAAAACCCGTTAATTTGAGTTAAAACGCGCGTGATTACGGATTGATATGATGGCTCGTGATTACGAACTGAAAGCTTCACAAATGACGCAAAAGTTAATAACAGCTTAAATTCACTGGCTAAAGTTTCCCTCCCTCCCTCCCCCCCCCCCTCCCATTTACCTACCGAACCAACTTTCGTGACGACTATCGGGGGTGCTAATTACTTCATCGTTAAACACAATTTACAATGCCACTCCAATTCTTTCTTTTAGCGAGATCCAGTAACCGATAAAATCAGGTGAAAACTGTCCCCGCATGGGTCCAGCGGTGTCCGCCCACATTGTAGCCCCACGGACGCCGGCTTATTTGTGGACCAAAGCTCCACATCCCCAGGGGGACCTAGTGCTAATTGGGGCTCTCACCGTGCTCTTAGGTTATTAAAGGGAAGCCGATCGACGTACTGAGAGGCTTGTCTGAGGCTTGAACCCCGAGTCCCCGGCGTAGGAAGCTGGATGGCGGGATAAAACGGTCGCGCCGGAGATTGTCTTTGGTGCGCTTCGATCGGCGCCCGTCGGCTATGGCTGCCCAAATCGATTCGCAGCAAACAGCTTGTCCCTGAGCGAGGAGACGGAACTGCATATCAATGAGCACTGGCTGAAGGGTCGGACGCGAGTTAGCTTGATGGGAAGGATCGGCCCGGAATCTGCAAGGCACGGGCGTAAAAGGGCGCACTTTTATTGCGCGCTGTTACCTCGCAGAGAAGCGCGCAGATAAACGCTGTGGTTGAGTGGATCAAATTAGCACTGAGGTACTTGAAGTACTAATTACTTCATCGTGAAACATAAGTTACAAGCTGGCGTGCCAATCCGATTAATATTGATGAATATTTATGGCTTTGCGTCAGGCGTATTTAATGTCTTGTATAAAAATGTGTTTTATCGCTGGGATAACAACCATTCAGTTATCAACTGTGTGAATTACGAGGATCGAAATCACGCGTCAATAATATTGATATCCTAATAAGTCATGAGTTTATAGGCCTATTTTCGGTATACCTACATACTGTTTAGAAGAGGTCATTATGTCGTGAAGTTTTTTAAGTTGTAATAAGGAAATTAAAAGCATTTCTATTCAAACGGTCTTTATTTTGCAATGAATTCCCTATATTTTTGTTGCGCAAATACCTATTGGTAGTGGGCAAATTAATTATAAGGCCTGAGCCTCTTTAGGGCCGTGCCTCAAACGATCCATGGCTCGTATTCGTTGATGTATATGTTTAATGAAGTGTTAGCACTATGCATTAGCACATGCTTCAGCAGCCCGCTGAACGTCAACGCGAAGTGCTAACAAGTGCGAAGTTTGAGTGGATGTGCAAACCTTGGCTCGACACAATAATGCCACCGCTTTAGGCCAGATGAGGTGCGAAGTTGTGCAGGAATGATTCTGCTGTCGAACGCTGCGTAAAGTGGACGTGTTTTGCTCAGTCTATAAGGAAAATCAGTTGTGATTGGAACATCACAATCTTACCAGACCCATATTTTCAATCGAATCACTTTCGCGTAGTCGTTATACCGGTTACAATGTATAAACATGGAGAAACGTAAATGGGTTACCCCTGCCCTTTTCGGTGGAACGGATCCATCTTTTCCGTCCGTCGGCGTTTCATCAATCAAACGCGATACTACGATCGGCGATACATAAGAAAGGATACTGATTCATCGGTTCGCCACGCGGATATGGTGTTCTCTCGATGTTGTTTCTTGACGGCTGTCCTGATAGCCTGACAATGTTGTGTCACACATGCTGGCGTTCTGCTGGACCTTTCAATGATCGATGGTGAACACGAAAGGCGTTCCGTTTTCAACACAGCAAAATCGGTTACATGCGACTATGGTTGGACTACAAATGCGCTGATGGAAGGACCACTCTCTACCTACAGGGCTAACATTCAAATCTGAGCTTTGGTGCGCTGTTCCAGCATCATGACATCTAAAGACGTTAATGCATGACTGTTGCCGACTAAAGTAGCTCCGATCATAATAGCTTACTTTCCACGATTAACCTTCGCATTTGAAAGTAAAAGACGACGTAATCGACGCGCAATCTCGCCAGATTTCATCCAGCAATCCGATAGGGTACACAAGTAGCTTTTCTAAGTTAATCAAAAGTGAGAAGACAAATAGTTGTTAGGTAGGCATTTCAACACCTAACACTTACCTCCTTTCCTATCTGATTGCAGTCCATGGCAACGTGTCAAGTTTGAGGCGATCCTGTTGTACTTTGAAGCTCTTTCAGAAGCGGAACCTACTGGTCTTGTCACCTACACCAGAAAGGTAAGTACTCGTATGTTTCCACCATTTCAGCCTTAGTTACCCGCTCCAGTGCCTACTCTCAGTCATAACCATGTTTTGTTTTTATCTTAATCACTTCAAAAGTTTAAACGTAACGTTTGAGCTTTCGTAAATACGTGATCTTGATGCTAATCCTTTTCATCCTTTCATGCAGACAGCAAAATGTACGCTATGCACTATAATGTATCAGCTCAGTCAGTATCTATATTCGCTGTTGTGTTGGGCAGGTGATGAGCGGCCGCGAGTTCGCCAGTCTGGCCGACTGGCTGGGCTGCTCCAAGCCTCTCTGTCCGGTGGTGGTTCGCGACACGGGCAGGATAGAGGACGCCGAGCCGGGCCTCAGTCAGGTCTGCTTCCTCAGCCCGCAGCCGGGCGGCGACACGCTCAGAGACGGAAGGTCACAGGTCAGTATTGGGTTAGATGGGGTCAAACACAGGTTAGTTGTAAATCAGATGATGGTCAGAAAGGTCGAAGGTCAGTTGAGCTCAGCTGAGGGGTTTCCTGAATGGGGGGCATCTATGCGAAAGATTGTGTATGCTGTAATATAAGCAATGTTTGTTGTTGTTTATCTTTTACGTTCTATCCACACCAGCTACCGTGTTTAGTAGACCGCGCCTCGCGGCTCATCTTTAGCTGCACAGACTCAGAAATTTCTATTTGCTGAAGCGATTGGTCTGCATTGCTTCTTCGCTGACATAACACACCGCTATCCATCCGTCTACCCATCAACCATACCGTGCTATCTTTTGACAAAGTCTGTTCGTGGAACATCACTTGTAAGACGGATTAGCCGTCGGTAATCTGGTGATTATGGGATCGGATGACCGGCCACCGCGGCATCGCTCCGGCCACCGGTGAAGAACCGATGGCTCATTCTGTCACCTAACCGTGTTATTGTCGGAAAATGACGCGATCTGAGTGAGATGGAATAAGATTGATGACGTAGAAAGGTCGGAAGAGGTGAAGATATCCGGCAGGAGGGGCGGGTGGCTTGAGTGAGTGCTGGCTTCGTTGGAGATCTTCGTTGACAACTGAATAGTGCTGGCGGGCAACCATCAAACTTGATGATCGGGTGCTTGGTAGGGTTATATCTTCGACACGGTCGAAATACTCTGAACTTCTATTCCGCCTGTTTTCCCCGTTCTCAGGAGTCTCTGAGCCACGCCAGTCACCCGGAGCTGCTGGCGTCGGCCATCTTCCAGGAGAGACTCGAGGATAACGAGTCGCTGGCGGTGTCGGGCTGTGTCCGGTCCTGTCAGATGGCGGTGAATTCCTCCGGGGCGCCGCATCTCACCCGACTGACGGTAGGTGGCAGCAGCTGTCACACCGGGACTCGTACACTAAAAATTACGAGCATTGTAAGGGTAAATGTTCCATGAAAAACAAATGCTTTGATTTAAGTTGAAAAAAAATACTTAACCCTTGTGTGTAACCCTTGTGTCTCTTACTATACCAGCAGCTTATAATTTGCCGACGGTGTTTCTCCTTGCTCAAGTATGTAACTAGCTCCCGTTTCTGTCACCAGGCGTCAGCACGGAGCGCCTCAGCCAACGGCCAAATCTGCTGTGTTGACGCCGAGAGTTACACCACTCTGCCCGCCGCTCAGTACGACGAGGACGCCATCCTGCGGGAGCTCAACAAGGCCTACCTGGGCTTCCAGCAGCCGAAGGTGACCAAGAGGCTGAGCCCGATCGGAGAGTCGAACGGCCCCAGCCGGCATGTGTCGGTTTCTCCCGCCCTCAGTGAGGTCGGAGAGTCCCCGGAGCTGGTCAACGGCGGTGCGAGGGGCCTCCACAACAGTCGGACGTCTCACGGAGTACCCATGTCCCCGCTGGCCGCCCCGCCACCGGAGGTACAGCCCTCGTCACAGCCGCAGTGTGAGGAGCCGGGGAGCTGCGGCGTCCCGCTCCGCCGACCGGCGACCATCGGAGGGCCGACCACAGAGCCCCCTGCTGAGGGGTCACCGGGCGGATCAGGAGGCGCCACCAGACAGAGCGTGCTCCGACTCATCGGACAGATGCAGCGCTCCATTGAGCGTGAGCTGGGTCAGCTGGGACAGCAGGCCAACTCACAGATCGTGTCACAAATCATGTCCCGGATTCGGACGATAGAACGCAGTCAGTTGGTGAGACTTCTGAGTGCAGATACACCCGCCCAGCCTGCTGCAGCAGTGGGTGAACTCCCGAACTGCGATGAGGACGCTCTGTTGACTGTCTGCGAGGCGCTGATGGCCGATCAGGTACCGCTAGAGCCTCTGGACGGCGACTACTTCGAGTGGAAGCTGGAGGAGCTAGCACAGGAGCGGTGCGCGGAGCTGCCTGGGCCCGGAGCCGGGAGCCGAGCGGAGCAGGGAGGGGAGCCGGAGCAGACGGAGCCGGGAGCGGACGTTCGGGGGGCCCGCGGCAGGACGGCCTCGGTTGATACGGATGCGTTCTTCAGTGCCTGCAGCAGTGTGGATGACAGCTGTTCACAAGGTGAGACTGAGAGCGGCTTGGCTTTGAATACAGACGGCTTAGGCTGCCGAAGCACCATAAGCAATATTATTCGGTTCGGTCTCAATCGGTTAGTTGTTTTGTGTTCAGTTTCAGTAACATACCTAACTAACAGTAATGCAATATTGCATGCACATTTTATGTGTGCTTAGTTCTGACCACACATAATCAGTCAATTGAAGATTTGATGGATATTGGTTAGAGAGCCGAGTTGTGATTCGTAGCCGTAGGTAGGTGTGAGCCGTAGGTGTGATCCTTCCATGAGATATGCGATGCTGAGCTACAAATGAGTCTAAGCCTCCGTATTATTCACCTCCACACTCCCCCTCTGACAGACGGCCGGAGCGCGGACAGCGGCTGGAGCGGCTCGCCGCCGCGGTACCGACGCTCCGTGTCGCCCGGCCGACCTCATCCAGGCCCCCCACGGCGCCGCAGCACCTTCCGGGACCGGCTCGAGGAGGCCAACCGGCGCGCCGAGCGGGAGGAGCTGGCCGACAGCCGCGACTCCACAGAGGACGAGCACACGGTGGCCACCGCCGTCCGGCCCGCAGCGGCCGCCGTCAGCGTCATCCGAGCCAACCCGGCCGTCACCGCGGCGGCGGCCGCCGCCGGCCGCGCCGCCACCGCCGCCGATGACGGCGATGACGGAAAGATGAGGTGAGGACGGACGATGGGAGTGCGGGGATGGGATTGGAAGAGGGACTGGTTTATTAGGGTGTGTCTGGTATGTGTTGGAGTGGATTGTTTACGCGTGGTGATGGGTTAGGCAATTTATGGGCGCGTTAAGCATTCTTAATAAAAGTTACGAATTAACCGTGTTCAAATCATTCCGGAGACCTGTAAGCTGCTATTCTGAGCTCTGATGATCAGCGTTGATGAACGTTCAGATCCGGCATACAAACCGTCACCGATTTCATTTACGTTATCTGCCGTCGCCTGACACCCTCCCTCTGCCCCTCTCTCTCTCTCTCTCTCTCTCTCTCTCTCTCTCTCTCTCTCTCTCTCTCTCTCTCTCTCGTCCCCAGCCGCGCTGGTTCGTCGGTCGGTGAGGACCTGGACGAGGTCGCCGATCAGCTCACCAACGGCCGGCGCTGGGCCAGCCGACTCCGCGGCAAGAGCCGCAGCCTCACCGGCAACAGCTCCCGACTGAGCTTCAGCTCAGACTTCAGCTCCGGTGCGTAACACTTTACCGAGAATTCAAAAGTAATCAAGCTATTGTCATGATTCTACCAAATATTTCACGTATTGTATGCCCTAACCTTGATCACTGCTCAAGTCATCTGGGTCGCAGGAGAGTGGAGAACCCGATGGTTCATGAAAAGTAATAGCATGACCGACAACAGTGCTCTAACCGTGTCCCCGTGTCCCTGCGCCTCTCGTCAGACGTGGAGGAGCTGTGTGACAAATTTGGCCACTGGCTGGAGGAGCCCGGGGCCGAGCTGGGACCACGAGACTTGGCCGTCATGCGGGTCACCCAGCGCATGCTCAAGAGGACGCTGTCGGACACATTTGCCGGCAGCGTGATGGACATGGAGCAACTGGATACGGCGTGTCACATCCCCAGCGCCAGCGGACTCAGTCACAGTCAGTACCTGAGTCAGTCACAGTCAGTACCTGAGTCAGTCACAGTCAGTACCTGAGTCAGTCACAAGTAGTACCGGACTCAGTCACATCCCCAGTGCCAGTGGACTCAGTCACAGTCAGTGCTCACAGTCACAGTCAGTATCGGACTCAGTCATATCCCCAGCGCCAGCGGACTCAGTCACAGTCAGTATCGGACCCAGTAACTGTCATTGGGTACCTGAGTAGTAGGTGCCTGCGTCAGTCATGATTCACTAATTGCAGTCAGTCACTATCTCAGTGATAAATGGCATCAGTCACATTCGTTACGTGGATCAGCCACAAGTCACTAGTCAATCACAGTCAGTACCATAACGATAAGTGGGATTATGTGCTCAGTCCCCATGTCCTCGATATGTCCTGGGCTTGGTCTGTTCGTGTTGGGACTATCATGGTACCCGAAGTCGATATCGTGCCCATGAGTGAGCATTGAGTGCTTACTACTATATTTCCTCCCATAGGATTGGAGTCTGACGCCCGACAGCGGAAGCGCGCCTGTGCCCGATCTCTGAGCCTCTCCGATCAGTGGGCGAGGGAGAGGCTCGCCCTGGAGGTGGCCAGGAAACTGGTAGAGCCCTCGCCTGACCAGGTACGCTGAGGACCGATCTGCCAGGGGTAGGAGTGCCACTAACCCGACCGATCGCCGGACGAGCGGCCGAGTGGTGTGCCGTGTGCGTGGAACTAATGAGTTATTACACTGCATACGATACCATCTTGTTATAGGCATTTATTTAAATGTCAACGCAACAATCACGCTGTTGGACGGTTACTTATTACACGCATCGTTCACCCTAGCTATTCAGAGTGATTAAACGCTGTCCAGTGATGGCAATGCCATTTGTTGAGCCTCGTTTGTGACCCCTGCATTATTGTTTGACCTAGCTGAACTAGCGTTTGCTGTGTGCTCGGTGCAACGTGTGTGGCTGTACGTACCTCTCCCGTGTCTCGTCACTAACCGACCCCCGGGCACGGCCGACCCGTGCCCCAGCCCTCTGCTCCCGTCTGCGCCAAGCCCAGCTCCAGCTCCGTGGTGGAACTCCTCGAGGCCGCACACGCCGCCACCCTGCGCCAGGAGCGGCTCTGCCCTGCCATCTACCGGTACTCGGAGGAATTAGCCAGCCGCCTGGTTCCCGAATGTGTCCACGAGAGCGCCTTGCTGCTGCGATTTCACCTTGCCAAACACCGGCGCGCCTATCGCAAGATATCAGCTCGACCGGAGCGGAAGCTGACCGAGTTTCCGCGGCGGCCGGCGGCGGCGCCACCGTCGCCGCCTCCCGCTCCGCCGCCCACCGGGCCTCTCCCGCTGGACGAGGCCACTGTGGAGGGATTCAGCTGGACCCTGGTAGAGCGGCTGCTGGAGGAGACGATCCGCCAGCTGCCCAGCCCCCGCCGGCAGCTGCTGAAGCGGCTCATCAGCGGCAGAGCCGTCTCTCTCGACCGTAAGAAGGGCATTCTGAAGAAGCCGCGCTCGGCGGTGCCGCGGAGTCGGAGCAGCACCTCCGATCGGCCGCCGCCGCTTCAGGGGAGTCCCGAGGGTGTCCCCAGCAGCGGGCTGCCTAGCCAGACGGGCCGGCCGGAGGCGCAGCGCCGCAAGAGCCGGCGGGAGAGCTTTCTGGAGGTGGGTGGGCGATTCAGTCCTGCACCGGTCAGTGAACGGTCGACCGTTAGCCCGCGGTTGAAAGGGGCGTATTGGTGAGGCTGTGTGGTCTAATAGAGCATCTAACAAACTAATGTGTAGAACTTTCTAACTAACGATTTACCGATGTTGTATTGCATCATGTAAAGCATGCTTGCGATTCGTGTCCCACATGTTCTATGTTGTATCGTAATTCGTAATGGAATTCACAAATTAGTGTTTTCTCTGCTAATGACGTGTCAAAGAAGGTCATGTCACTGAATGCCATTGTCGTTATTGATAAAACAGATTTGATGTGCATTATACACCCAATTTACATCACAAACCCTCGTGATCTCCCCCTGACCGGCCCTCCTCTGGCCCGCTCAGTCTCGGGCCGCCGCCGCGGCCGCCGCCGCCTCCGCCGGCGGTGCCGCCGCGGAGGACACCGTCGAGCCGCCCGACTCCGGCCGGCCGGCGGTCACGGGCAACTGGGGCTGCGGCCGGCGCCACGGCGGCGACCCCCAGCTGAAGGCGGCGCTCCAGTGGCTGGGAGCCAGCCGCGCCGAGCTGCCCTGTCTCATCTACTACACCTGCGGCAACGCGGCCGTGCAGACGGTACGGACTCGTATGGATAGAGGAAAGGGGAGAGAATCTGTGTCTGAGGTCCGGAGGGCAAAATATGGTGGGCCGAGAATCGCCAATGCAATGGGTCGAAACTTACTTGGGGTTGCCTGAGTACACACTGATTGTTGCTGACCACTGGCCAGTCACTGCTCGCTTTGACTGACTAAATCGGTCATCTCCCCCGCCCCCACCCCCTCAGTTCCTATGGGTGTGCACTGTGCAGTACCGGTCACCGACCGACACTGGACGGTCGCGGAGCTGTCTGTCTCCCTCCTGTGTGTGCACTGTACGCTGGGGATCTAACTGTACCCTCCGCCCCTCCCCACAGCTCCAGTGGGTGTGCAGTACGGTCACCGACCGACACTGGACGGTCGGGGAGCTGGCCGCAGCCGTCCTGTCCCACTGCCACCGCAGACTGGAGGCGGCCAAACGCAGCGCCAGCAGGCAAAGAACAGGTGAGCATTCAACTACTGGCGGTCGCTCAGACCGGTCAATAATGGTAATGACTAAAAGATGTCGTGTACTGCAATGATAGTCCTTTGACCTAGGATTCTTAAGTTTCTTCAGACTGACACAGTTACGCCTACGCTATGCACCGCGAGAACACTGTAAGCGCCGTTTCATGTTGTTTCATGGGCGATACATAAGTGTTTTTGCTCTTCTTTCAGTGGCCACTCCTGGGGACCTGTTTGAGGACCTGCTGCGCTCGGAAGTGCCGCCAACAGCGGAGGCCACCTTCAAAACCCGCATACCTTCCCTCGACTGAGGCCCATAGACGGTGACTGAGGACCTCAGCGGGCCGTCGGAGGCCGCACCCAAGCGTCCAGCTGTGGTGTAGTGAGTTGTGATCCCCGTGGGCCCGATAGTGTTCCAGGAACCGACTGAGGTCCCCGTATTGACCAATGGTCCTCAGGCCGACCAGTGGTCCTCTTATCGACCACGTGGTCCTCACTGGTCCGGGCGGGACACGTCTGGTCCTACGTCCCAGGCCTCCGTGAGTCCCGCTAGCGTCCGGGGGCCTTCGTACCGCCCTTTGTAGTGCATTCCCAACCCCGAGTCGGCCGTCCCTCCTAGGAGTCTGACGTCCCCGTCCGCAGAGATGCAAACTCCCAGTGGAGATGAAGATTGTGAGACAGTCATCCCCGCGGGCGACAGTGATACAGGCAATAATGATGATACGCGGGAGGCGCCGCGTGTTAAATATGATTTACATGAGCTGAATGTCACATTTGTAGGTTGTGCGATATATTATGTGCATGCTTTCTTACCCTTCCATGATTCCCCATGAGCGCTTCCACTGCTGTGTCGGTAATTGACTATATATATGCCCAGAGGATGTTGTGGGAAACGTTAGCGCGTTTTGATGGACGCCGTACCGATATGTAGTAAACCAAACGTCCCGTGTCGAGCCGTCCCATTCAACGAATATGGGCCGGACCGCGCGTTTTTAACGCGTGCTGCTTGTTACGAGACGTGCTTGGATGCCCTGCGCTCGTCGTGGCGTGTCGTATATCACTCGATCGCGAGTTACGAAATAAAGATACAGCATTCGTAATGATCAGGAACAGGCGGAAGAGAGCGACGTACTGCGAGCGCACGGATATCACTGCCGTGCTCTCGATGTTGATGATGCTGACGTGGTCAGTCAGAAAGCATAATCATTTCATCGATGGTTTGACCTCCAAAATCAATGCGAAGCAATGTAACAGCTTCATTAGTGCTAAGCCGATATGCGTGTCTTTGCCAGAGTTAAAACAAATCAGTGTTTCCAATGTGGTATCCACCTTTAGCCGTCCCTGTTCCTCACATACCGACAGATAAGTCTTCGTCTCCGGCCTGTATTGTTCCCAGAGGCACAAACACAGCGGACGGCGGTGGTAGGCTGTCGCACGACCCCACTCGAAGGCTTCTGTGACCACAACAGTAGCACGGGGCCACAGGTCAGACATCTGAGCCACCCAACCCTCAGAATATGTACACAAATGGAGACAGACATGCTCAAGAGAAAGCCTAATCTACGATGGCAGAAGCAGTAGGAAAAAAGGCGCTTACAGGCCGATTTGCACAAGTATGATATGTGGTAAAACGCAGCAATTCATCTTAGACTCCTCACTTACCACATCGTTGTTAACTTTGTAGCTCGCTGATAGCGTCACTACCCTAAAACTGACAAAAGCTACAAAACGCAAAACTAAATAACTAAAATAACTACAATGATGAACAATTTTGCACTGTAATTGGCCTCCCACGTAGAGAGCCAATATGGGAAGCGGCACCCGCGACGCGTCGATGCCCAGAGCCGGTTCGCCTCGGTTAGCTAAAACGTGTTTCGATCGCGTCAGAATCAGGTCGACAGTTAAAAGGCCGCCGGTGGGTCGTAACCCGGCGGCGGCTCGGCTCAGGCGCGCTGCCGTTGTGGCTCGTAATCGGACGAATCGGCGCCAACACAATATCGACAATCAGCCATTCCCCATTCACGCTCACATTTACACTGACCCACACACACATACAAACATCCACACGGCATTACGACACACACTCATGGCCGCTCGCTGGAGATGCCTCGGATCGTTCCTAACAAATATCGCCCTGCGCCGGCCGGGCGGCTGGCGCTGCCTCCCGGCGGGGACGGGCCAGGCGGGGAGCAGCTGCGGCGGGCCGGTCGCTCACCGCGCTATAACGCCGGCGCCTGACGCAGCAGCGGAATACAGGCCACCTTGTGGAACACTTGGTGCGAGTACTTGGCGCGGATCGTCTTCAGGTGGGGGTTGGGCTCGCGGCCCAGCATGTTGTGCAGCTTCTCCGTCAGGTCCTGGAACTCGGAGACCGAGTAGCCTGCGAAGGAGCGGGGCGGATAAGTCAGCCTAGATCAAACTACTAAAGTAGATAATGTAAAATGAATTAACGGTATGCTGGGAAAAGGAAAACACCAGTGGGACGAGGAAAACCATAGGGTAGTAGTTCTATTCTAGAGCAATAAGATGCCACCCCATACCGTCTCTTCCGCCAACCCCGTCTCACCGGAGAAGTATTCCACGGTGGCCTTGATCTGCTCAAAGTGACCAGGCATCCTCATGTGGACGGCAAGCGCCAGGGCGGCGGCCGCCAGTCGGGAGCCGGCCACCGACACGAACTGGTACTCCATCAGCGACAACTCCAGGACGTAGCGCGCCAACGTCAGCACCTCCACGGGCAGCTTACAGCACTGCGGGGAGCGGGGGAGGGGAGTTAGCACCTCTACTGAGAGGGATAACACAGGGGAGTTAGCACCTCTACTGAGCGGTATAACACAGGCCGGGAGACAACATCCCCACAGGGAGCCATAGGGGAGGGGGAGTTAGCACCTCCACTGAGCAGGATAACACAGGAAAGACAGCACCTCGACAGAGAACTTACAGCACTGCGGGGAACGGGAGAGGAGAGTTAGCACCTCTTATAATGATGTACGGCATTGTGCGGAATCGGTTTTCTGGGTGGAGGGATAAAAAAGTCTGCTTTAGCGTTGTATAAGATCTATGGGGCGAGACGGACCCGGGACCGGGAGGCTGATTTCCTTACCAGTGTACCTGTCTTCATTCTGTGATGTGTTTAGAAACGCGGAAACAAGCAAGAAAGCCATATAGAGAGGCTATCACAGTGGGAAAGTTTTACTGACATGGAGAAAAGTCAGTCGAGCGATAAGAGACCGCAAACACCAGCTGCAGATGGCTGGCTTGGACGGATCGGGGAGACATTCGAGATGGGATTTACAAAACAACGCTGAGTGTCCCCGGGTAAGGCCTTGAGGTAGGATTTTGGCAAGGCCTTAGGCCAGTAGGATGTTTGAACGAAATTAATGCAATCCGGTACTGCTAATGAAAAATGGGCGACAACTATCATGGCCTATGAGAGCTGTAGAAGCCGCTCCCTATTTTTCATAACCACCTACATCCCACCAGCTGCAATCAAACTAATTATGGACACATTAGCAGACGTTCGCAGTCGCACAGATACCAAGCACCTCATAGGCCGTGCAAACCACAATAGCCGCTGATCATTAGTCCGCCTGCGAACGTCACATCGATGTGGGACCCTCCCGTCATATGATCCCAATCACAGGCAGCCCATTAAACGGAGCGGGGCTCGGGTTACCGGCGGGAGTCTGGCCGACAGACCGACCGGCAGCCTCGGCGGCGGGGCACAGATTCACAGCCGCCCGCCGTGACCCGCACTCACGATCCTACCCTATCCGCCGCCGTTCGGCACTCCCAGCCGCCGCTCCCCACAATAGGCCCCGTTCCCAGGTCGGGTGATGAGAACCAACCGCAGAATATCAATCAACGGTCCAGGGCAGACGCTAGCTTCACTCTCAGACCAGCACGTACTCTAATACGTTGCCGTTGTAAGACAACAGTCACCGCGGGGTATTACAATATAATACGTCTTGGGACGCCCACACCGGGACCTGGCGCTTATCCCCGGATCCCCAGCTTTCAACTAACCCGTGCGTATCGGCGCAGGAACCGGTAGGAGACCGGCAGGCCGACGTCAAAGTTGACGGTGCGCAGGATTTTCATTTCCGTGGCTATGATCTCGCGCCTGGCGTAGGCGTCCTCGCAGATGTAGAGAAAGTCGTCCAGCGGCGGCGGCAGCCGCTCCTGAAATAAGATAGCTCACGGTCAGTGACTGCTCAGTGCTCACGCTTACAGAAGGACAGAACAGGACGAGAGTAGAAGTATAGGTATTGCAGAAAGCAAGACAGATTGAAATAGGACACAAGCGGGCGAGTTTCGATTAAAATTTCAACGCATCTAACCACGCATATTCTGAAAACCATTAGAGTAAAAACGTGCCCGCTATTAACGCTTTCACACAACGAACCTTAATTTGATGCGAATGAAACGCAATCGGCAATACACATGTCAATACCCAATCACTAAAAAACCAGTACCTATAACGCCTTTTGGGGCGAGTAACGGAGCGAGCGAGAGGGTGAGCCTTGCACGTGCGAAATTTCGAGGGGGTACCTCCAACTGACTTGTGCACGGCACCCTACTAACCGGTCTCTAGCGATGTGCCAAATTTGAGCACAATCGGCCCAGCCGTTCTCGCGATCTGGAAGCGGCACCCTGCACGTGCGCACGTGCAAAATGGGCCCCAACTGACTTGTGCACGGCACCCTAATAACTGGTCCCTAACCGTGTACCAAATTTGAGCGCCATCGGTCGAGCCGTTCTCGAGATCTGGAAACGACCCCTGCACGTGCGCACGTGCAGCAGCACCCCAACTCTGGCACATGGATATGTAGTGCCTAGTGGGTGCCTACTTACATGCCAACTTTCAGCGCAATCGGCCAAGTAGTTTCCGAGATATTGCAACAATTACAAAACTGACACCTCTTCGCTTTGCACGTGGCACGTGCATAAGGGGTCACCCACATGCATTGGGAATAGTCGAATACTTGGTAGAAGGAATGAAGCTACCCTACAAAAATTACCGCATGTAAATCGGTCAAGTGGTTGCTGAGATATAAGCCTCGCAAAAGCGTCCGCACGGCCGGCCGGCCGGCCGGCCGCTCATACTCAGAAATTTCCGTTAATCTAAGGAAAGACTCCGCTCGCTTCGCTCGCTCCGTAATAAAAAATAGTCGACCACTCACGTCGAACTTGCAGGCGATGAAGATGGCGGTGGCGCCGACCAGCTGCAGCGTCTCCCTGCTGACCTCGACCTGAGCCAGGTACAGGTCGACCAGCCGCACGGCCAGGTACAGCGTCTCGTGGTTGAGCTCAAACGACTCCTGCACCTCGACCATCCAGTCGACCAGGATGGAGCGCATCATCTCAGTGAGATCCGTCTGAACCGTGCCCAGGTAGGGCCCCACCTGACACATGGCCTGTCGGAGCAGCACGCGCAGAGGTCAGTGGTCAGAGGTCGGCGGTCAGAGGTCAGCGGTCAGAGGTCAGCGGTCAGCGGTCAGAGGTCATAGGTAAGCGATCAATAGCGGTGGATTTCGTGGGGTGTGGGAAACTGTAGGCTTTCGGTGGCAGACGTTGCAGCGTACATCTCAGTTGGAACAAAACCATTAACGTATAGACGAACGGAAGAGATCTCGCCATAATACGAAGAAATTAGAGAAAACGTCTTTTTAGCTTTCAGCTACCCCAAAACCAAGCCAAGCACGTCTGTTGTCAGTCCAACAGCATATGTTAGATTTCCAGCTCCCAAAAGCCCGCCCACCTCGCGTTCTTTGTAGTGTCTGAAGAGATCGTTGACGTATTCGGGCACGGCGAAAATGTCGCCGGCCGCCTCGGAGTCGAAGTCGATGACGCCCTCGGGCAGCGCGCTCGTTCTCCGCTCGTTCTCGGCGTTCAGACGGCTCACCAGGTCGGCGGCGCGCTCAGACTCGGGGCTGGTTGGGCGACGGCGGTATAGCAGTCAGAAACCCAAAGTATCTAATTGATCTTAGACTTAGAGTAGAGTTCAAAAAGGGAAACAAGCAATTCTATTGCAGATTCTGAGCAGGTTACCGAATGCAGAGCCGGTGATCACGTCAGGGCAGTCAAGTCTCAAAGGGGAC